TTACCACGCAGATCACTTGGCACCCGACATAACTGAAACAGACAGTTCGACCAGGAGGCAACAGCAGACGCTTTACCGGTGCCGACTGCAAGTCATGTTCTGTAACGTCTCAATCCGAGCATAACAGGAGAAGCGTGGACTAAAGCACGGAAGGCGAGACAAACTAACAGAACCCCCTTTATCCGTCAGTGAGTTGATTTCACAATGCCAAGTCAGCTGTTGCCAATTTCGAGGCCTGCGCAATCTTACATCTGGCAAACAAAACAGGGCTCTCTTCCGTAGGCTGTGACTGGGCACTTGACTAAGCCAACGCAAAACGTTCAACGTTAGATGACTTCCAAGGAACTTGTCTCATTATCTCACCTAGCTTAGCACATCATCAACATCGCACATACGCTGCTATCATCCGACACCCACAACGCATCGATAGAATAAATGAATAAACACTTGCCGAGACCAAGTATCGTTATGTATACGATCTAATTATTATATATATAAATATATATATATATATATATATATAAATCTACGGGGCCCCACTGCCATGTGTGTCAGGTCTTTGAGCCAAATGCCACGGGCGGAGTCCCTCAAGCAAACCTCCGAAGCACAACGACAACGTCGCGTGCAATTGCCCACCAATGCAATCGTATGCCTGCGCGCAAAGCACTCAGCATCGGGTGCTGGAACGTGCGCACACTACTGGACCGGAACTCCAGCGAGCGACCCGAGCGACGCACTGCACTGGTCGCGATGGAGCTGGCGCTCTACAACATCGATATTGCGGCGCTCAGTGAAACTCGGCTCGCTGAGCAAGGTAAGTTGCATGAAGCAGGTGCTGGATACACATTCTACTGGGAGCGCAACGCCGCCTCAGCACCACGTGAACGTGGGGTAGGATTTGCAATATCCGATCGCCTCCATGGCCAGCTGGTGGGTGAACCAACAGGCATCAGCGCGCGACTGATGACTGTTCGCCTACGACTCGGAAGAGGTAAGTTTGCCACTTTTAGAAGCACGTACGGTTCGACCATGCGTTATCCTGATGACACGAGTGATCAATTCTACACTGAGCTATCCTCCGTGATACGGCCTGTGCTGAGGAGCGACCGACTATTTCTGCTTGGTGATTTCAACGCGCGCGTTGGGCGTGCTGCATCAGCTTGAACAGATGTTATCGGTCCGCATGGCATTGCTTCAGAGAATGCGAACGGTGACAGGCTGCTCTCACTGTGTGCCACTCACGGCCTGACGATTACGAACACTCGGTTTGCACTGAGCGCGAGTGATATAGCAACTTGGACGCACCCACGGAGTGGTCACGCTCACCTGCTCGACTATATCATCGTGCGTCAGCGTGATATGCGTGAAGTGCGCGTGACACGTGTACTGCGTGGAGCTGAGTGTGGCACTAAACACAAATTGGTGCGGGCCAAACTGTACATATATTTTCGTAAATCTATGTATTGCACTCCCGCCGTGAATCAGCGTAAATTTAACATTCTCTCCCGCGGTACTGTGGCGAAACGTACTGAGCTGGAGAAGGCGATGGCTGCACGTCTGTGTGATGTGGACTGCATAGCCACAGTGGGCGACCTGTGGCACCACATTCGCGACCAGGTGACAGCTGCTGCCGAGGAGACCATCGGGCGCGCAAACTGTAAGCGGCCTGATTGGTTTGATGACAATAATGAGACGATTGGCGCATTGGTGTCGGGGAAGAATGCAGCATTTGCTGCACATGTGGCAGACCCCAGTGACTTGGGAAAGAGTAGTCAGTTTCGCAAACTTCGACAGCGACTGACCCGAGAGCTCCGCCGCATTAAAAATGCATGGTGGGCAGAGAAGGCGAAGCAGATAGAATGCTACACCGAATGCCGCCAACACAAGGAATTCTTTGACTCCTTGAAGGCGATGTATGGACCGAGATTGGAGCCACTGAGGACACTGGTCGATGGTAGTTCAGGCGCTACCTGCACCCAGACTGCAGACATAATGCAGATCTGGCGAAAACACTTTGACTGTCTTTTGAACAACCGTTCAGAGATCGACTGGCCTATATTGAAATGCCTCAAGCAGCACGATGTGAAGACGAGTCTGGCGGACACGTCGACACTGGATGAGACGCAGAGAGCACTTGCTCAGCTGCGAAACGGCAAGTGTGTCGGTGCTGATGGGATCCCGCCTGAAGTACTGAAACACGGCGGACCCGCGTTGTTGACTGCGCTGCACAACTTGGTGCAACGTGTATGGATTGAGGAGGAGGTGCCTACTGGGCTGAAAGATACCCTCGAACTACCACTGTACAAGGGCAAAGGTAGCAAGCAATGTTGCACGAATTATCGTGGCATCAACTTGCTGAGTTGTGTGGGCAAAGTGATTGCCCGAATCCTGCTCAACCGCCTCGTCAGTCACGTTGTGGAACCTAACGTGGCGGAAGAGCAGTGTGGATTCCGCTAGGGTCGCAGCACTATAGATATGGTGTTTGCGGCTTGTCAGTTGCATTAGAAGTGCAGAGAACGACACCAGCCATCGTACTCGCTTTTTGTTCATTTCACCAAGGCATTTGATACGGTGAACCGCGTGGCATTGTGGCTGATGTTGGGTAAGTTTGGTTGCCCGCGTAAGTTTGAATGTTCAATTGAATGTCTGCACAGTGGTATGCGAGCGACGGTGCAGCTGAGTGGAGAGACCTCGGATGACTTTGCAGTTGTCTCTGGTGTGAAGCAAGGCTGTGTGTTAGCTCCTGCCCTGTTAAATATATATCTTCATGCAATGTTGTCTTGTGCTTTTGATGCCGCTTGGGCTTACGGTGTTCGTGTGGAGCACGGTATTGATGGTGGGTTGCTGAACATCCGTCGTTCCGGTTAGAGAACTCTAGTCTGTTAGACAACTATCCGTATGTTGCTGTTTGCTGACGACTGTGCGTTGTTTGCACACAGCGCGGATGAGTTGCAGCACATGATTAGTGCTCTGGCTTTGACAGCGGCCAAATTCGGGCCCACCATCAAAAGAAGACAAACTGTCTGTCTCTTTCAGCCTTCACCGGAGGTGCAATCTTCAATATTGCCGCGAATCAGCATTGGTGCTGAAGTATTGAAAACCACCTCCCGCTTTTGCTACCTTGGGAGTGTGATGTCGACTGATCAGCAGCTACACAGGGAGCTGCGTATCCGCGTGTCGAAGGCAGCGGCGGCATTCGGGAAGCTTGAGTACCGAGTGTGGAACAACCATCAGCTTACCATTGGCACGAAGCTGATGGCGTACAAATCCATGGTGCTGTCTGTTCTTCTATACGGTAGTGAAACGTGGACGATGTACCAGCGGGAGGTGCGATATCTCGAGCGGTTCCATCAACAGTGTTTGCGACGGATTTTGCGCATCGGTTGGGACGACAGTTGCTGTACCCGGAATGTATGCAGTGGAATTCATACTTTTGCTGAGACACCTGAGGTGGCCCGGTCATGTGAGCCGTATGGATTCGACGCGGATACCGAAACAACTCCTATATGGTCAGCTGAGTATTGGGAAGCGGCATGTGGGGAAACCAAAGTTACGTTACAAGGACGTGATCAAAGTGAGCCTCTCACGTTCTAATCTTGATTGCAGGTCATGGGAATCGAAGGCAGTTGATCAGCGTGCATGGCGCGATCAAATCACGAAGGCGGTTGCCGAAGTGCGGAAGAAACACCTCATGCATGCAGAGAAGAAGCGGCAAGTGCGGAAGCGGCAAGCAACGATGGGTTGTACTCCATCGACATCAAGCGCATGGTGCTGTAAAACATGCGGTCGCGAGTGCCTTAGTCAGGCAGGCTTAGTGAGCCATGAGCGAGGCCACTCGGGACCACTACCGAAGCGACGACGGGTCCTGCAGAGAATGTAGGCAGAATCAGCGCACCGTTTGTAGGTACGCTGCATTCGATTTACTAACCGCGTGCTTGCATGCTAAGTCTATTCACTTCAGGTGATGGGTTTTCAATTTTGTCCTAATGCTTTTCTTTCTCATATAAATGTCTACCTGTACTCTATTCCATTAACCTGCACACCTCGCTTAAGCCAGTTGTATTCGATGTACATAATATTTACGTGTTCGTGGGATTTCCGTAAAGTACACTTTCTGACCTCGTGAACTTATCTAGGATTCGTTTGTAAACAACTTATTTCATATGCTCATTAACTTAAAGTTTATGTCACCGTTTCCTTATGCATTAATCGAGTTATTTTCTTTGTATCTCTCTCTCAAGTGATTGGCTGTTGTTTGATATCCCGGTGTGGCTGCGCTTGATATGCATGTTGACAACGTGCCTACCTGTCTATTACCCACTACCTCGTCCATACTGGCTCCAGGAGACAGTTGGTCGTTGCTGGAGGGGACAGGGTGCACGGTCCTTCTGGCCGTGTAAGGATCAAAGAGTGGTTCCATGCACTCAGTGTGGAGCGGACTACGGTCCAGCCACCGCCTTGTGTGCACTTGATTCCCCAAATACAGCGTGCTTGTGTTTGCTGTGAAGGAGTGTGGTCCGGCTCTGTTGATGAAACGTGGCTCCCATCCGCATGCCTCCCAGTCTTATTCCTTCGGGTTTTCACTGGATATGGGGTGTGTGGATGGAGCTATGGGTGGTGAAGCGCAAGCCATGTTTCCTCCGTAGGCGCAGGCGTCCTGTGGCTGTCCCCGTGGAGGCCGTAGTGAAAGGCAAATCTGGAACCGGATGCAGTCAAACATATATATGAACTCAGCCTAACATCATCCAGATATTCTTTGCAATTGCCTATGCACTGGTTGATCTACGATCTGCCTGCATAAATTATTTTCTTCCCCTTTACGGTTTTCTGGACTGCTATTCGTTTCGATGAAATGATTATCTTCAAAGCACGACTCGTTTAGGAAGAAATATTTGGTTAATATTCCGCAATATGTGGAAGCGAACTATCTCGCCAATGAGAAACTTTTCTGGAGAAAACCTGCACAAGATGATCGAACCAGGTTCACTGGACTATGCCTCGCGCTTTTCATAAGTACCGCATTTATTTATTTATCCAACGAGGCATAAATTCTAATAAATAAGATAAATATAAAGATAAGTAGAAAAAAGCTTTTAAGATTCATCTCCAGAGGTATCGTAAGAAACAAGGCCTTGGGGAGGGGGCGAATCCGGGATGCACATGCCCTGCAGTAAAGGCAATCTCGTCAAGGCTAGGGGATGATTCAACGAAGAGATAGTTTGTGATAAGTTATCCATGGAGTGTGCTTCATGCAAATCAGAAGAAGCCAGTTTAGCATCAGTATTGGATTGAGCAAACGTATGCAGCTTCTGTTTACGGGCCGTATGCTCACGCTGCAACTTGGAAAGTTTCCTGTTTAGCTGATCGACAAAAGCAGGACTGTAGGAAGTGCATGCAGTTTGGCGAAGAACTTGATCGATTTCTTTCTCTATTGCAATCATAGATTCTTCGACGGCAAATCTTGTCTTCAAAGCATTTAAATGAGGTCTTTTGAGATTTGTAGATCCATCCTTCTTGTTGTGAAGCGAGTACCAGCGAGCGAGTGAAGTGATTTTCGTCCGCTTATAACCAGGCATTAAAAATGCGAGCTAGAAATGAGGCGTACGTTGCTAAGCGGAGTGGAAGACGACCAGTGCAAAACATATGACAATGTCATCGTAAATAAACAAATAATAATAATAAATAACAAAAATAAATAAATAATCGAAATAATCCATCAGTCAAAAGTTGAGCATGAGTGCAACACGTCCAGTAGAACGTAGAAACCAACTAACAAATAACGGTAAGGGAATGATCATCGCCAAGTAGAGTTCGAAACCGTGCCCTTGGATTACAAAACACGCTTGTGATCCTTGAGGATACGGGCCAGCAGATTAGTGAATAATAGGGAGTACTATATATAGGGTGTTTTATTACTAATGTCCGGAGCTAGGAGCGGCTGCACTCAGGTGCTGACGTACCCTGACGTCCGCTGAATTGCTAACTGTCCAATGACGCAAACTGCTTTGTCGGCAGGGGTGATATGGGGCACAGAGGCGCGGCATGTGTGTCTAAAATTGCAGGGCACGCCGAGCCGTTCGGCTGTGAGAAGTGAACGTTAGCAAACACCACAGCCGCAATGAATGCGTCATGCCACGATCGTAGGGCCAGACCAACGCACCGCAAGCCGTTCGGCTGTGAGAACTGGAGGTGAACCCGACACCACATAGCCACACTGAATGTGCCGATCGATCGGTCGTCGGCCTTCACGCAGGTGAAAAAGAAAGCAAAAGGGTTCCCTGCGAAGTGGTTAGTGGGGCGCTGTGCTAGGAATTGAGAAAAATGGCCTGGCCGTATGTCATGACCGCACGATGGGCGCCGTATTGCTATCGCCACAAAAGCTGTTATCGCCTCATGACTGGCTTCTAACAAGGCCTTAAGCTTTTCTTAGGCTGCTTTCGCTGCTAAAGAAAATCATACTGACGGGAGCACATTGTAAGGTTACAGTGTTGTTCGCTTTACCGTTTGGATCGCATGTGTGTTACAGCTGAAAATTCACCCTTCATGGGTACATAAAAACGAATTCTTGACTTGACGTGACAATGCTCTTAGATTTCAGTCTACAACGACGCACTGGTGGCGGCAAGGTGTCCGGCTAACGCTCAGTTCTCACATCCGAACAGCTTGCGTTCCGTTGATCTTGCGCTGCGGCGGAGGCATGACGCATTCATTGCGGCTGTGGTGTCTGGCAAACGTTCAGTTCTCACAGCCGGACGAAGTGTGTTCCCTTGGTTTTGCCCTGCAATCCACGCATGACAGGTCCATTGCGGCTGTGGTGTTTGCTGACGTTCGCTTCTCACAGCCGAACGGTTCGGTGTGCTCTGCGATCGTACACAAACTTGTCGCGCCTCTCTGCCTCATATCACCCCTGCCGGAAAAGAAATTTGCGTCATTAGACATTTAGCAATTCACCGTACGTCAGCATCTGAGTGCAGTAGCTCCTAACTCCGGACGTGAGTAAAAAAACATATATATGGTTAGCAGCCACCGGTTTCGGATTCGCTTGACACTGTGGCAAGCCACAGGACGCCTGCGCCTACAGAGGCACCATGGGTGGCTTGCGCTGCACCACCCACAGCTCCATCCACACACCCCATATCCAGTGTAAACCCGAAGGAATAAGACTGGGAGGCATGTGGATGGGAGCCACGTTTCATCAACGAAGCCGACACACTCCTTCACAGCAAACACAAGCACGCTGCATTTGGGGAATCAAGCGCACACGAGGCGGTGGCTGGACCGTAGTCCGCTCCACACGGAACGCATGGAACCACTCTTTGATCCTTACAAGGCCAGAAGGACCGTGCACCCCGTCCCCTCCAGCAACGACCAACTGTCTCCTGGAGCGAGATCGACGAGGTAGTGGGTAATAGACAGGTAGGCACCTTGTCAACATGCACATCAAGCGCAGCCACACCTGGGATGTCAAACAACAGCCAATCACTCAAGATGCCGAGATCGAATAAAGTAAACGCATATATCGACATAAATACTCGCTAAATGAGCATATAGAAGAAATTGGTTATAAGTAAATCCGTGATAAGTACAAAATGTCCGGGTTAGTTAAAAAACACCACGCGATGCAATTACGCAAGTTTACCACAATTTGCATAGGCGACGTGTGAAAGTTGGGAGAAGATTATCAAGTACGCAGAACAAACCAAATAAAATGTAACGAATTTCGTCCACATTAAAAAAGACCTAGTTTAAGTGTAAGTTGGTTTAGCCCAACTGCGGTGAAGAAGCATCATGAATTCAACATCAGCCTCAGCATGGGGCACTGCTACTGTTGTGCCATTAGCTTATGTCCTGGGTGCCTCCTCGTGGCGACCGCTGGGTGGGAGTTGGGTTTCGCCCTTCTCACTGCTAAGATCCAGGACACCAATCCGCATGAGTCAGTGAACTGACCATGTGCTAGACCAGCTGCCTTTCGGGCGTTCATTTAATCGAAGGCTTTGGCTGAGGACTCGAGTCGTTCTCCTGTCAGGTGTGGGCGCCCTGCCAGTATCCTTGTCCATCCTCTTCGGAGGTTAGGAAGTGGTCGATGGTCCTCTTCCCGTAAAACCTAGCCATGGGAGACAACAGGTCTATGGGTTATAAGCTCACAGCTCGATTGGTGTAGAGCACGAGCACCACGCATTGTCTCTGACGGTGGGAGGACACCTCCGGGTGTTCAACGGTTTGCTACCGCCCGCCTCAAGCCAGGCAGCCCCTGGTCAAATTGGTGCAGACCCGCAAAACCCACCTGCGTCTGGCCGTGGTCGCAGGTGTATCCTACTACGGTCGCAAAATATATATAGATCGTTCCAGTACGTCCAAGGCTGCGTGTGACGGCCGTCAAGCCGATCCCAAACTGTCACTGCAATCACATTCCCGAGCTGGATCTGCTCCCTACTTCCTTGTGGGTCAGGCTCTTGCGCCAAAAGCTCCGGGCGGAGTCCCTCAAGCAAGCCTCCAAACCACCCACTGCCTTGTGGGTCAGGCTCTTGAGCCAAATGCCACGGGCGGAGTCCCTCAAGCAAACCTCCGAAGCACAACGACAACGTCGCGTGCAATTGCCCACCAATGCAATCGTATGCCTGCGCGCAAAGCACTCAGCATCGGGTGCTGGAACGTGCGCACACTACTGGACCGGAACTCCAGCGAGCGACCCGAGCGACGCACTGCACTGGTCGCGATGGAGCTGGCGCTCTACAACATCGATATTGCGGCGCTCAGTGAAACTCGGCTCGCTGAGCAAGGTAAGTTGCATGAAGCAGGTGCTGGATACACATTCTACTGGGAGCGCAACGCCGCCTCAGCACCACGTGAACGTGGGGTAGGATTTGCAATATCCGATCGCCTCCATGGCCAGCTGGTGGGTGAACCAACAGGCATCAGCGCGCGACTGATGACTGTTCGCCTACGACTCGGAAGAGGTAAGTTTGCCACTTTTAGAAGCACGTACGGTCCGACCATGCGTTATCCTGATGACACGAGTGATCAATTCTACACTGAGCTATCCTCCGTGATACGGCCTGTGCTGAGGAGCGACCGACTATTTCTGCTTGGTGATTTCAACGCGCGCGTTGGGCGTGCTGCATCAGCTTGAACAGATGTTATCGGTCCGCATGGCATTGCTTCAGAGAATGCGAACGGTGACAGGCTGCTCTCACTGTGTGCCACTCACGGCCTGACGATTACGAACACTCGGTTTGCACTGAGCGCGAGTGATATAGCAACTTGGACGCACCCACGGAGTGGTCACGCTCACCTGCTCGACTATATCATCGTGCGTCAGCGTGATATGCGTGAAGTGCGCGTGACACGTGTACTGCGTGGAGCTGAGTGTGGCACTAAACACAAATTGGTGCGGGCCAAACTGTACATATATTTTCGTAAATCTATGTATTGCACTCCCGCCGTGAATCGGCGTAAATTTAACATTCTCTCCCGCGGTACTGTGGCGAAACGTACTGAGCTGGAGAAGGCGATGGCTGCACGTCTGTGTGATGTGGACTGCATAGCCACAGTGGGCGACCTGTGGCACCACATTCGCGACCAGATGACAGCCGCTGCCGAGGAGACCATCGGGCGCGCAAACTGTAAGCGGCCTGATTGGTTTGATGACAATAATGAGACGATTGGCGCATTGGTGTCGGGGAAGAATGCAGCATTTGCTGCACATGTGGCAGACCCCAGTGACTTGGGAAAGAGTAGTCAGTTTCGCAAACTTCGACAGCGACTGACCCGAGAGCTCCGCCGCATTAAAAATGCATGGTGGGCAGAGAAGGCGAAGCAGATAGAATGCTACACCGAATGCCGCCAACACAAGGAATTCTTTGACTCCTTGAAGGCGGTGTATGGACCGAGATTGGAGCCACTGAGGACACTGGTCGATGGTAGTTCAGGCGCTACCTGCACCCAGACTGCAGACATAATGCAGATCTGGCGAAAACACTTTGACTGTCTTTTGAACAACCGTTCAGAGATCGACTGGCCTATATTGAAATGCCTCAAGCAGCACGATGTGAAGACGAGTCTGGCGGACACGTCGACACTGGATGAAACGCAGAGAGCACTTGCTCAGCTGCGAAACGGCAAGTGTGCCGGGGCCGACGGGATCCCGCCTGAAGTACTGAAACACGGCGGACCCGCGTTGTTGATCGCGCTGCATTCATTAATTCATTCATATGTAACTGGTGCAAGGTGTATGGATTGAGGAGGAGGTGCCTACTAGGCTGAAAGATACCCTCGAACTACCACTGTACAAGGGCAAAAGTAGCAAGCAATGTTGCACGAATTATCGTGGCATCAACTTGCTGAGTTGTGTGGGCAAAGTGATTGCCCGAATCCTGCTCAACCGCCTCGTCAGTCACGTTGTGGAACCTAACGTGGCGGAAGAGCAGTGTGGATTCCGCTGGGGTCGCAGCACTATAGATATGGTGTTTGCGGCTCGTCAGTTGCATTAGAAGTGCAGAGAACGACACCAGCCATCGTACTCGCTTTTTGTTCATTTCACCAAGGCATTTGATACGGTGAACCGCGTGGCATTGTGGCTGATGTTGGGT